TTGAAAATACTTTTTAAATTAAATATATATACATTTTAAAAAGTGGTTTCTTTGCCCTTCGTAAATGGAGAAAAATATTTCATTTACCACTACATTTCTGAGACAATGAGTATTCTTATGCAAAAACTTTTTTTTTTTGGACTCACAATCTATAAAAAATAAATTGCAGGAGTAAAAAAGCTTTGCTTTCTAAAACAAAATGTTATTTTTATGACATCTGACTATGGGAAGATTTACTAAATAAGATATAAATAGCAAACTGTAAAGAAATACTTCAAAATTAAAAGATACACTACCAAGGGGGAGAAAATATTTTCTAATTACTGACCAGAGATTAGTATTCCAAATATTTTGTGAGTTCTTATCAACTTTTTTAAATCTGTAAAAAAAAAAAGTAGCTGGCAAAAATAGGATTTGGTAATTCAAAGAGAAAATGTGAATGATTAATAACTTACCAATAGGGGAACACAAATGAAGCCACATTAAGGTACAATTTCAGTCCCATCACACTGGCAACAGTTTAAAGTGACATTATGAAAAGTTGCTGAGGATGTGCAGAAATGGAACTCTCATCAAACTGGAGGTATAAGTGTGAATTTGTATAATCACTTTGTACAGCAATTTGCCAGTATGAAACATAAAGATGCATGTATCCTACAACCTAGCAATTCCATGTGTAAATCTGTTCTCCAAGAACAGTGATTCTCCAAGTGTGTTCCAGGACTAGCAGTGTCAGCATCACCAGGGAAGTTACCAGATATGCAAATATTGCCCTGGCACAGTGGCTCACACCTGTAACCTTAGCACTTTGGGAGAAAAGTGAGGTGGGTAGATCACTTGAAGTCAGGAGTTCGAGACCAGCCTGTTCAACATGATGAAACTCTGTCTCTACTAAAAATACGAAAATTAGCCAGGCGTGGTGGTACATGCCTTTAATTCCAGCTACATGGGAAGCTGAGGCAGGAGAATCGCTTGAACCCAGAAGGTGGAGGTTGCAATGAGCCAAGATAGCGCCACTGCATTCCAGCCTGGGAGACAGAACATGACTCCGTCTCATAAATAAATAGTAAGATATGCAAATGTTCAAGCATCCTCTCAGATTTACTGAGTCAGAAACCTGAGGTAAGAGAGGGATTTGATTCTGATGCACATTAAAGTTTGAGAACCACTGCTGTAGAGAAATTCTCACACAAGCCCCAAGGAGACAGCTAGAAAATTAAATAAAATATAACTTAAGGTCTAAAAAGTGCTGCACTGTATGTATTCAAATTCCAGCTCCACCATTTCTTTCTTGGCCTTTTGATCTCAGGAAGTTATGTAGTTTTTCTGTATATTATTACCCATTTATAAAATGGTGATTAATATACTTTCTTCTTCGTATAGTTGCTGTGTAGATTATATAAATTAATTCACACATATCAGTTATACTAGTGCCTGGCACGGAGTAAGTACTCAATAAATGTCTGTTATCATTAGGATGTTTGTTGTAGCCTTGCGTGTAACAGTAAAGTACTGGAAACAGTTACTCAAAAACAAGAACGCAAATATGGAAAAGGTTTAACATTAATAACATTTGGGTGATGAGTATATAGGTGTTCTTTATTATTCTTGGTAAGTTCCTCTGTGTTGAAATGTTTCACAAGGAATGGAGAATAATAGTAAAGACATCATGTGTTTATTCACATCTACATTTCCACAGAAGTATTAGTTTAGGTGAATTTTCATGTCTTGATTTTTAAAGTTTCCATAGAAAGAGGTTACTGAACTTGTGTTATTGGCATAAAATATAAAGCTGTCTGGTCTCAAAATACTTTTCATGTCATCCTCCTACAACTTGCATTCATAAATTATAAATTCCCACCAAATTTGCATGAATCTGCCTTTCCACATTTGTATCTTTTTTTTTTTAATTGCATTTTAGGTTTGGGGGTACATGTGAAGAATATGCAAGATTGTTGCATAGGTACACACATGGCAGTGTGATTCCCCTTCACCTATATCTGGCATTTCTCCCCATGCTATCTCTTCCCAACTCCCCACCCCCTGCTGTCCCTCCCCAATTTCCCCCCAACAGACCCCAGTGTGTGATGTTCCCCTCCCTGTGTCCATGTGTTCTCTTTGTTCAACACCTGCCTGTGAGTAAGAACATCCACATTTGTATCTTTACACCCACTGTCTCCTCTATATTTACTGCCATATTCATATTCTATCCATTTTTCAAGTTTTCAGCTGAAATACCACCTCCCTGATAAAGATGGACCCCAGTCTCTATGTTATAATTTATCTCTTCTGCCTTTCAGTGTTCCAGATCTCATTCTGTTTATCACATAGCTCTTGCCACATTTTCCCAAATGTTAGAAATGTCTTCCCCCTAGTTTATTTCACACTCATTCTACAGAGGCACATCATTATTTTTAATGGAGCAAAAGTTGATACAATCTCAAAAATGTCAGAACAAACTGATTTTAATATGATTTAAATACTGATTTCAATTCAATGAATAGACACATTAGATGCTACCCATGGAACTCCTATACTCTTGACTTCACTGGCCAGTGAGCAGAAATTGTGGTATTCTGGGCCCCCATGTTCTTGCTTTGGTAGTAATTAAAAAGGTGCTGCAGGATTTCTCAATCCAAATATTCTTGACAATTCTGAAATAGTGGATCTGGGAGAAGGGTACTTTCCCTCTAAGAGTCTGGGGGAAGGTGGTCTGATAGTGTAGGAGGGATGATCCCTCTCATAACTGGAAACTTTACTCTCAGTTTTGTGGTTCCTCTGCTGGGCAGCTACTCTGGATCCATTTGAAACCCACTGGTGGTTGTGCACTTCCTCCGGAGAACTGACCTTACTGCCTGTTCTCAGGCCAGCTGGGAAACACATCTGTTGATCTCACAAATCAATTTTCAGAGAAATTCCGGGTGGATCTGTTGGGTTTTGTCCTTCCTAAAGCAGAAGGAGCACCTCTAGGAGGGGTTAGGGAAGCAGTTGGGGGTGGACCAGGCAGAGCCTTGCAGTATACCTCAGATCTTTGCTCATTCATACCTCTGAACTTCGCTGCTTTATCAAGCCCACTCTGCAAGGCTTCTCTTATTTTCAGTAACAATCACATATTTCTCTTCAGGGGAACCCCTTCTCATCATACAGGTTTGTGTTTGTGTGAATTCCAATTCTGGAACATAAGCTGGTTATTGCCCATTATGTTCCTGACCAAGGTGGTCTTTGCAGACAGGTTTTGGCCTCCCTGATCTCTTATCAGCTTGCCTCCCCAACTACCTCTCCAACAACCAATGTTCAGTATCATCTGAAGAAAACCTACATAAATGTTGAAGAAATGTCATACAATCCTCTTTTACAACCTAACTGACACACCGAAATCTCTCCTGTATGGAAATTCTGCAGTCATAATTGAAATAAAGGGAAGTGGCTGATGGTTCTTTAAAAATGGCAATATTCTTGCAGGAGGATGCAGGAGGGGACCTCTAGGGGGCGACGTTATCTAACAGAATTTCACAGTTGTTTTATTCGGAACTACCCAGTTTACGTTCTCCATTGCCTAATTTCCGATGTCCTCTCCAAAGTTATTTCCTGGCCTCTTACATTTTCTGCTTCCTCTGGAGGGCACTGGTTGCACCTACTAACATGTAATAACTGCTGGCCTGCTTCTTGCCTTTTGATAGTTTATCTGACTTAGATCAAGTGATCTCCAGCTAAGTCCATCCTACATTTATATTAATATTTGAGAAGTGCAATCCAGTTTACTAAGTACATATATGTCCCCTGTACTTTTCTGGTTTAAAACTGTTTGAATTAATATCAGCACTCAACTCAAATTCCTAAACACATAGATTTTCTTGTGATTCTTAATTGCTACCATGCTTCTGAAAGAACGCTTGCCATTAGTATTGCTTTAGTCACAACTAATCTTTGAGGCTACTAACCTTTCATCTTTCTACTTTCAGGGTCTGGCATAGTGATTCACATACAGTGAGATGGGTGAATGAATGGGTGGATACGTGGATAAACGCAATACCTTGTTCAGGATATTAGGAGTTTGACTTGGATAATAGGCAGCACAGCATAGCTAAAGAAAGAAACAATTAGTTTTAGGAAATAAATGTGTTAATAATGTAGGAACAACCAGTATTCACACACAATAAAATTCTCCATTTTAAAGTATAAAATTCAGTGGTCTTCAATATAGCCACAGAATTATGCAATCACCAATATCTAATTCCAGTGCATTTTCATCACTACAGAAAGAGATATTTGTACCTGTTAGCAGTCACTCCCCGTCCTCTCCTTTCATTCTTCCCTCTCCATTCCTTAGTCCCCAGCTGCTGGCAACCACTAATCTACTTTCTGTCCTTATGGATTTGCCCATCCTGGATCTTTCATATAAAGGGAATCATACAACATGGCCTGTTGAATCTGGCTTCTTTCCTGTATAACCCAGAGCACTTTGAACATATCTCTTTAATACTTATTTTGCTGTGTTGGGATTATTTGTTTCTGGCCTACCTCCCACTGGACTATTAACAATCACAAGGACAGTTTATGCCTTGTTTATTTCAACATTTGAATGCAGAGCTCAGGGCCTATTACAGAATGAGCAATCAATAAACATTTTCTGAACAAATGATGCTTTTCCAATTCCAAAATGCATGAAATACCATGTTGACCTCACTCCTTTCATCTCTGATCAGTCTGCAGTACCACCAGAATCCTTGTCTGCAACTTTTTTCATCTCTTTAATTTGTTTTGTGTCTTTGCCTAAATTTACATTTTCTCCCTCACAAATACAGCTTAAATTCCAGAAAGTGGGGACATGTCCTGCCCCAGGTCTGTATTCACAAAGCCATGTTTGCCCCTTGTTTGTGTGGATTAACATTCTGTTATCTGAAATCTAACATTCTAATCTCTGAAATCTTTAAAATGAGAACCATGCCTGTGTTCTATAAACTGTAAGATTTAACATTTTCTTTCTTTTCTTCTTTTAGCCATACTTCCCATTCCCTCCAGCTGTTGCACGGAGGTTTCACATCATATTTCCAGAAGGCTTCTGGAAAGAGTGAATATGTGTCACATCCAGAGAGCTGATGGGGACTGTGACTTGTCTGCTGTCATGTGAGTGCTCTTCGGCAGGGAGGTCTAAACCTGCACAGTCATTATTTCCGTGACCAACAAATAATCGGTTGAAGGGCTTTGGTTGATTTCAACATAAAAATAATCATCCAAACAAGGGAGGGAAGAGTAAATATTCTGTCCTTTAGGTCCAGGCTCCCTGGAGTAAATTCATAGCCTCTCTGTGCAGGGATGCCCTGAGCCCCATACCAGCGCACCATCTATGTCCACCCTATGGTGCTGTGCTTAGGACTAAATTCCCCCAGTCACCAAAAAGTGTCCATGACTTTCCTAAGCAAAACAAAATCCCCCAAAAAAGATGACTCTGTTATATTTCATGGCTTTTAACCTTTTCCAGTATATGGGTTGCTGTCATTTCTACTTTCTGAATTCATCAGGAGCATATTATAGGTTTCAAAAAGGTAGGCCAGGTATGGCAGCTTATGCCTGTAATCCCAGCACTTTGGGAGGCCTAAGACAGGGGTATCACTTGAGCCTAAGTGTTCAAGAACAGCCTGGGCAACATGGCAAGATACCCATCTCTACAAAAAACTTTAAAACTAGCAAGGCATGGTGGCATGCACCTATAGTCCCAGCTACTTGGGACGCTGAGGCTGGAGGATCCTTTGAGCCCAGTTTGAGGCTGCAGTGAGCCATGATTGTGCCACTGCACTCCAACCTGGGTGACAGAGGAAGACCCTGTCTCAAAAAACCACCACCACCACAACAACAAAAAGACAAAGAAAAACGAAACAAAAAAAGATTCAAAAAGAAGCATGGAAATATCTGTCAAAAGTGCTATATGCAATCCAGTCAAAACACCAATCCAATCTCTGCTTTTGATTCTGTGGTGTTGGCTCATGGTGAAGCCTCCCACCCCTGCCCCTGGCTCAGTTATTAAAAGCTTTGTTTGTATATGTACTTAACATCTCTGTGGAGTCTCTAACATCTGAACTGCATTGATGTTTAGCAAATCTAGATTCTGACAACAATGCTGTGAGGAAGGCATAAATGATCTCCCGATCACACACAGGAGAAAGCTGTGACTGAGATTACCCAGTTCACCTGTGTACAGCTCGTGACTGGCAGAAACGGTATATGAACCCAGGTCTCCTGGTTCAGAACACTCTGTGTCTCCAATGTCATTCTAAAGGAGTGGTGGGATTAACCGTAAAATGCTGTCCCTAAACTCCACTGCATCTGAGTATCAGATATCTCCCTGGCATGCTGGTTTTAACACCATTTGTGGCTCCAGGTGAGGCTAGTGACCCATTCCGTGCTGTTTAGGCTATAAATAAGCCCATTGCTTTGCCTAAGCTCCTGAGTCACTCAGAAACCTTGTTCTTTCAGTGAAGTCAACAAATATTTATGAATTAATGATTATGCGCTAAGCACTGTCCTATGTGCTGGGGATGCAGTAGTGACAAAATGGGTTCTGCCTGCCTAGAGTCTCCAGGGGACTCTTTCTCCAGCTGGGTTCTACAGATCGGCTTAACGATTTGAGATGGTCTCTGGAACTTGAGATGGACTTTGTCCCCCACTTTCAGAGGGATTTATCCATTATTCAATTTTGAGAAAAAACGGCCCTAAGACAAGGGTTCTTAAAAGTTCAGAGGAAGTTTGTAAGATGTCTGTTGAAAGACTTTCATCAGGTTAGGAGCTGTGAACTTCCTGAAATTTTTGTGTATGAACATGTGAGCATTTTTAGAAGGTCCGTAGGTTTTATAAGATTCTCAAATGTTCTGAGATTAAATAAAGTTTAAAGATCACACCCAGGGTCAGATGTAGGGGAGGAAACAATTCTTGATCCAAACTTGCATTAAGCATGAGTGTCTTTGTGCAAGAAGGGAGAGGACTGAGAATTTTCTCAGCAACTCCCCAGTTCGTTACCACCTGGCTCCATTGGCTTAGGTGGTTTAGTCATTAGGAACCAGCATCACCCCTGGCACTCCAGGGACTACACACCAATGAGGTGCCTTCTGAGGGGTGTTCCAAGTTCCCAACTTCTTTGGAAAAACTCCTTGGTATATGTCTGGCCGAGATTCTACCAGTTTTTTTATTTAATCTCAAAGAATATTGTTGGTAATAGAGAGTAAAACATTCACAGACAATTCATGGATAGACAATGCTCTAGGTAGATAGAAACAACTGGATATTTGTGTCGAGTGGACACAGCTAAACTAAATCTGTCTGAACCTGCTCCAGTTGCTCTGAGAAACTCCGCATTTTCAACTCCTCTTAATTCCTTCCACCTCGCTGGCATATATCACCTCAGACTTGAAGCTTGAAACTTATAAGGGCTCCAGTAGGACTCCCAGAAAGGCTTGGAGGAAAAAAACAGAGGAAGTTTCTGTGGATGTATAAGACAGATTCTGGAGGTTATCCAGGGAAGCTATTGGTAACAATATTTTCAGAGACATTTCTTTGGGATAAGCAGGTGTCAGAGATCTGAAAGGCATAGAACAGAACTGATGTTTCACTGTGATAAAGTAAAATATACTCAGAAACATGAGTCTTCATTTTGAAAAGGACCCAATTTTAATTTAAGAGGAACTAGGAAGCCAATCACTTAGATCTAAAAATATTTACTTTATTCAAGCAGAATTTGTGAATTGACCTCCCTGTGCTAAGAAACAGAGTTGCTATGACCTAATCTCAAATAAAATCAAATTCAACTCTGTAGTATTTTTTAACCACAAATTACAGATCCTCTCTGTTGTTTCCTGATGTTCAGCATAAATAGATAAAGATTCTCTTGTTTTCAGATTACGTTAGTATGGAGCATGTCTTTACTTATCTAAAATGTAGTCCCTTAACCCTGACTGGGCAAAAAGACTTTAAAGTTTGCAAAAGTGTTTAAGATGCAGAAAGCATTGGAAATATAATTCCCAAGTAGCACGTATTACTAATAACAATTAATTAATTAATATAAATCAACTTACTGTTGCCACTAGGCTTCTTTTTCTTTTCTGCCTAGAAATAGGTCCTTTGTTTCATACCTTATAAATGATCATTGTCATTTTTGATGCCTGAGACAGCAGCTTTCTTGTTCAAACTCCTCTACACTGATTTCATTTAATGAGCTTCTGGATGTTTCTGAACATAAATACAGTAAAAAGTTATTTATCTTGGGCAGAGGGCTGAGGATTTTTCATCAAACAGACATTTGCTGTTGTGAGAAAATTGGAGGTTTTTTTTTTGAAACGGAGTTTTGCTCTTGTTACCCAGGCTGGAGTGCAATGGCGCGATCTCGGCTCACCGCAACCTCCGCCTCCTGGGTTCAGGCAATTCTCCTGCCTCAGCCTCCTGAGTAGCTGGGATTACAGGCACGCGCCGCCATGCCCAGCTAATTTTTTGTATTTTTAGTAGAGACGGGGTTTCACCTTGTTGACCAGGATGGTCTCGATCTCTTGACCTCGTGATCCACCCACCTCGACCTCCCAAAGTGCTGGGATTACAGGCGTGAGACACCGCGCCCGGCCAAATTGGAGGTTTTTAAACAGAATTCTCTGGAAGATTTGAGTAGTTTTCCAGATGTGGTTGTGAGGCATTGTTGTGTGCAGAGGAATGGGTAAAGAAATAGAGTTTAGGGGATATTAAAGGTATAATCTCTATGGCAGGGCCGCCCCTTTACGTCCATCAGACTATCTCCAGCTACCTTCCTGTGAGTTAAGAAAAAAAAAAAATCAGGGGATTGGCCTCATGATTTCTTACAGTCAAAACTCTCCACTTACAAACTCACCATTGGGAAGGTGGGGATTGGTGCCCATCAGAATATGAATGTAGGGAGTAGGGAAGGGAATGTGGAATAGGGCCCCCTTTCCAACATTACTTCATCTCTTTCTTTGCTGCTGGAAAATACCTGGGATCCAAGTAGAGGTTTATGAAATTTTTAAACTTTAGGATTCTAAAACATCATAGGATCTCAGATTTGGGAGCTGTGTTCTGGTAGCTGATTTTTTTCCCCCTTGAATTGCATTGAGAGGTTGCTTCACCAGCAAGTCTTTGAAAAAGCCCACATGCTAGTTGTCGCCTGTTTTCCTATGGTCCTCCACCTCTCTAAATCCTCTGTCTGTATTTCTCCCACCGGGTTCTCTCCTTCAGCCCCAGTGCCGACGCCCCTCCCTGAATCCCAGCTCTCTTATTTTTATGATGGACTTGAGTCCTAGCTCTTTCCTGTGTAACTTATGGGCTTATCTGCATGTCACTGAAATCTTTTTTTTGAAACGGAGTTTTGCTCTTGTCACCCAGACTGGAGTGCAGTGGCACGATCTCTGCTCACTTGCAACCTCCGCCTCCCGGGTTCAAGCGATTCTTCTACCTCAGCCTCCCAATTAGCTGGAATTGCAGGTGCTCACCACCATGCCCAGCTAATTTTTGTATTTTTAGTAGAGACAAGGTTTCACCATGTTAGCCAGGCTGGTCTCTAACACCCGACCTCGGATGATCTGCGTGCCTCGGCCTCCCAAAGTGTTGGGATCACAGATGTGAGCCACCCCTACACAGCCTGCATGTCACTGAAATCTTTATCTGCTCAATTTCTTTCTGACATCGCAGGGATAGGCAAGAGTTTTAGTCCTTTGGAAAGAGTAGGAGTTTCAATGCCAGCTTTTTTGTCGTTGTTATTTTTCCTATGCAGCAGTGCTACAACCATGTTTTCTCCTATGATAGCAAACCACTGACCATAGTGAGAATTAGGTGGTTTTTTTTTTTTTTTTTTGAAGGCTCTCTATCTAACACACATAGGGAATATACTGTTCTCTTATTAAGATGCTCCACTTCATTCACATTAGTATTCCCCACATGCTGGCTTTATTATGTTAAAGCTCATTTGTAACTTCCCCCCATTCTCCCCACTTTTCTCCCATTTCAAGAGTCCCTACATTAGTTGATAATGATTCTACTTGGGTCATCTAGAAAAATGGCAGCCTACTCTCTACACCCCGTGTTTTTTCCCTGAATAACAGGGTCAGGAGTTTCAATTTATCTGGACACAGAAACATTGTATATGTAGAGCCAGCAGAATTTGTGATGTTTGATGAGAGATGATAACTCCTCATGGGGAAATTAGAAGTTACAATATCTTTTTCAATAAAAAATTCTAGTTACCAGAAACTGTGGATGCTGCCCTAGCATTCTCCTAGCCCACTATGAAAACTTCATATAGAAAAATGAAAATGAGCCGGGCATGGTGGCTCACTCCTGTAAACACAGTACTTTGGGGCCTGGGTGACAAGAGCAAAACTCTGTTTCACCAAAAAAAAAGAAAAAAGAAAAATGAAAATATGAAAGCACATTCTGAACTGTGGTATATATCTATATCACATTAAAATGTTAACAAATGCCTAGAATATTTTCAACAAAACTCTCCTTATTTTGAACAATTTTTACTTCATACTATGATGAATTACTAAGTTCCTGCTATGAAGAGGACTTTTCAAGACACTTCTAGACTATTCCTCCTTCAAGGAGCATAACTCCAGTAGGAGAGATGAGACAAGTACTCAGATAAAAGACAGAATAAACTAAGTGCCAGAAAAGAGGTAACTCTCGCCATGGAAAATCAGAGGGGGAAAAGGAAGGCATTTAGCTGAAAGAATCTACAGCAATCTTACAGATCAGAAAACCTCAAACAAACCTTAAGGATGTGTTTGAGATGAACTGTGAGGATGAATTGGTTTTGTTGGGTGAAGCTTGAAGTCAAGGGAGAGAACTGTTTTTACTTGATTTTTATTATTGTCTCTTTTCCTCCTTTTCTTCTTCCTCTTTTTTCTCCTTTCTTTTATCCTTCTCCCGCTCCTCATCCAATTCTTTTCCTCCTCTTTCTTTTAATACTCTCTGCTAATATCTGAGGACCCACAGGCAGCAGTGTTTGTAAAGTCAAAATTGAAACTTGAGGGGCTCAGCTTAGAATTCACTTCATTTCTACACTGAATTCAGAAATTTAGTCTGAATTTCGTCTCTAGGAGTACAGTGTCCCAAAGTGGGAACTGCCTGTAAGCCTCTAAAAGGCCATTTTATGTATTTTCTCTCAGTGACTTCCTTTTTCCTTCCTTTCTAACAGCCTTCATGTCAAGCGCAGAAGAATCTGTGTCAGCCCGCACAACCGTACTGTTAAGCAGTGGATAAAAGTGCAAGCGACCAAGAAAAATGGTAAAGGAAATGTTTGCCACAGGAAGAAACACCACAGCAAGAGGAACAGTAACCGAGCACATCAGGGGAAACACGAACCATATGGCTATAACACTCCTTATTAGAGAGTCTACAAATGAATCTGCAGAGACAATTCCTCAAGTGGACTTGGCAGTGATTGGTTGTAAGTTTATCATCCGAATTCTTCTTATTGTCAGATGACAGAACAAAACAAAACATTGGCTTTTAAAAAATGAATAATTGTGGGGTATGCAAATGTAGTCAATAATATACTCAACTGGAAAATTAAATGAAAAGATAATACTGGCTGGGTACAGTGGTTCACATCTGTAATCCCAGCACTTTGGGAGGCTGAGTCAGGAGTTTGAGACCAGCCTGGGCAACATAGCTAGACCTCATCTCTCCAAAAAAAAAAAAAAAATTAGCCTGGCATGGTGATACTTGCCTATAATCCCAGCCACTTGGGAGGCTGAGGTGGAAGGATCACTTGAGTATGGGAGAGTTTGAGGTTGCAGTGAGCAGCCTGGATGACAGAGTGAGACCCTGACTCTAAAAATAATAATAATAATAATAGCATTTATCTTCATATAATATTTTAAGAAGGGCATATAGATATAACTTCTCCAACTTTTTAATTATAGTTTTCCAAACTTACAGAGAAGTTAAAAGAATGGTACGGTGAACATCTATGTATCTTTCACCTGGATTAATCATTGCTAATATTATGTCACATTTGCTTTCTCTCTGCTCTCTTTGTGTTTCTGTATAAAATATTATACATTTTTAAATATATCTTGTTTGCTAAAGCATTTGAAAATAAGTTGCAAACATCATGACACTTCACCCCTAATTTGTTTTTGGTGTTGTAACTTGACATACCCTAAAATAAAGACATTTTCCTACATAATCACATTGTCAGTTTAATACCTAAAAAATTAAAAATTTCATCCAACATATTCCATATTCAAATTTTCCAAGCTATTTCAAGAGCATTTTAGGTAGTTTTTTTCAATCCAGTAATCAATCAAGATTGACATACATATTGCAAATAATTGCTATTTTTCTTTAATATCTTTCAATCTAAGAAAGTTCCTCTGCCTTTTTTTCCTTCTTCCCAAAGCATGGACTTTTGAAAAAGAATCTAGACCAGAATCTTTTCCACAATCTGAATTTGTCTGATTATTCTTTTTTTTTCCGTTTAAAAGAATTTTTTTAATTATTTTGTTTAGGGAGGGTCTCACGGTGTCTTCCAGGCTAGAGTGCAGTGGCACAATTTTGATTTTGGCTCACTGCAGCCTCAACCTCTGGGACACAAGCAATCCTCCCACTTCAACCTCCTGAGTGTCTGGGACCCCAGGTGCATACCCACCACACCTGGCTAATTTTGTTTATCTTTTGTAGAGACAAGGTCTCATTATGTTACCCAGGCTGGCCTTAAACTCCTGGGCTAGCCCAAGCTATCTTCCCACCTTAGCCTCCCAAAGTACTGGGATTATAGGTGTTAGCCACCATCCCTGGCCTAATTATTTTCTTAGGATCAAATTCAGGTTTATATTTTTGGTAAGAATTTCCTATGTGAATTCGAATACTTATTTTGCCATTTACAGTTCATAAATATTAGGGTTTATTTTCTAAATAGAAAAGTTTAAGTTAAATATAACTTCAACACATCTAGTGGGAGTAGCTACTGTCATTTGGATTGATAAATTCTGATGCTGAAGAAAAAAAAAAGCCTGTCTTGCTGCCCAGAACCTTTTGCCTCCCCAGTCAGTTCTTGGAGCAGCACTAGTTAGGGGCCCAGAGTGCGGTCTTCTGTATAGTGATTTTACACTCTGCCTAAACAAGGAGTCTACATCTTTTAGCTCCTATCCCATCCTTCCCACATGTTGGTTGTTGTTGTTGTTTGGTTGGTTTTGTTGAGACAGCATTGAGAACATCCTAGCATTTTGGGAGGCCAAGGTGGGTGAATCATTTGAGGTCAGGAGTTTGAGACCAGCCTAACCAACATGGAGAAACCCCATCTCTACTAAAAATACAAAAATTAAGTGGCCATGGTGGTGCACACCTGTAATCCCAGCTACTTGGGAAGCTGAGACAGGAGAATCTCTTGAATTGGCAGGTGGAGATTGCAGTGAGTCAAGACTGTCCCACTGCACTCCAGCCTGGGCATCAAAGCAAGACCCTGTCTCAAACAAACAAACAAAACAAAAAGAATATAATATTTGTGTTAATGAGAAAGGACATCTACAACTCACGCAACAATACAGATGTATCTTACAAGCATAGTAATGATGGAACAAGACCAGATACAAATGAGCCAGTATTAGTTATTGCCGTATGTTTGTTCCCCAAAACTCAGACTGAAATTAGATCCCTATTATTGGAGGTGGGGCCCAGTGGGAGGTGTTTGGGTCATGAGGGCAGATCCCTCATGAATGGCTTGGTGCCATCCTTGTAGTATTGAGTAAGTTCCCTACTCTATTACTAATCTGGAAAGCAGGTTGTTAAAAAGAGCCTGGCACCTCCCCAGCTCTGTTGCTTCCTCTCTTACTATGTGATCCGCTCACATTGGCTCCCCTTTGCCTTCCACTATGAATGGAAACAGCCTGAAATCCTCACCAGAAGCAGATGCTTGTGCCATGCTTCTTGTACAGCCTGCAGAATAGTGAGCCAACTAAACTTTTTTTCTTTATAAATTACTCAGCCTCAGCTATTCCTTTAAAACATAACCAGATTAAGACAGTTATCCACTGATATATAACAAGTTACCCCAAAATTTAGTGACTTAACACATATTTATTATCTCATAGTGTCTGTGGATAAGGAATTCGGGAGTGGCTCAGCTGGATGGTTTTGGCCCAGGATCTCTCATGAAGTAGCAGTCAAAATGTCCACAGGGGCTGCAGGCATCTGAAGGTTTGACTAGGGCTGGAGGATTCCCTTCTCAGATGGCTCACTCACATGTTGTTGGAAGGAGGCCTCATGAGGGTCCCTCCTTGAGCTGTCTGAGTATTCTCACAACACAGCATCCGGATCCCTCCGAGAAAGTGATCCAAAAGATAGAACAAAAGGATAGCCTCAGTGCTTTTATGACCTAGCCTTGGAATTGATTCATCCTGTCTCTATAGGTTGTACAGACCAATTCTGATACAATTTTGGTGGGGACTACACAATGGCATGAATATCAGAAGTCAAGGATCACTGGAGACAATTGTGGAGGCTGGAAGTATCCATTCTACAAGATTCTATAAATATAAAGTATCAAAACTTGTGAAACTAAGCTATGCTGTTGGTTAAGATAATGGTTACTCTGGGGAGAGGGTAGTGACTAGAAGGAGGGAAGAGATGGGCATCTGGGGGTACTGATAATGTTCCATTGCTTGATATAGGTGTAACTATATGACTAAATTCATCAAGCTGTAACTTACATGTTCCTCCATATATGTTAAACTTTGACAACTTAAGCAGCATAAGAAAAAGAAAAGAAAGAGAGAAAGCAGCTGGGTGCAGTGGTTCATGCCAGTAATCCCAGCACTTTGGGAGGCCAAAGGGGCAGATCACTTGATCAAGAGTTTGAGACTAGCCTGGCCAATGTGGTGAAACCCCATCTCTACTAAAAATACAAAACTTAACTGGTCATGGTGGCAGTTGCCTGTAATCCCAGCCACTCAGAAGGCTGAGGCAAGAGAATCACTTGAACCTAGGAGTCAGAGGTTGCGTGCTGAGGTCACACCGACTGCACTCCAGCCTGGGCAACAAAGTGAGACTTTGTATCAAAAAAAGACAGAGAGAGTGAGAGAGACAAAGGAAGAATAAAAAAAGAAAGGAAAAGAACTCTGGAATACATCCAGAGGACATGGGATTCATATTCTGTGAATAGAAAATTAGACCTTCTCAAGAAAATGCTTAGCCCAGTGGCCCAGGGACCCAGTGCAATATAACTCAGAAGGAGAAGGGAGGTCCTGATCCATTTGACTGATCTAGGACACAATGCATTGGCAGCAGTCTTATTATTAACATGTGATTAATGTAATGTCTTATTATTAACAGTCTTAATATCAACATATATTTTTGAGTATATAAACAGTTCATTCCTTAGTATATACTTAGTTTATGTACTCAGGAACAGTTTGTTTATATACTCAGGAATGAACTGTTCCTGAGTATATAAACAGTTAAAAATATTAGAAGAAGCAGGAGTGATACAATTTAGATGTCTCCAATATTGCTCCATTCCTGGGTGTATCATACCAACCACCATGAGACAACAGATTATCTGTGCATTGATATGCATAGTCATGACCTCATAAGACTGTTGAGATTAAGTGGTAAGATGTGTGAGAAAGTAGTAGGAGCCTGGCTTGTAGGAGGCCCTGGACACATGTTTATGTATTCATTAACTAGTATTTGAATTATATATTGCTGTCTAACTCACCATCTTCAAATGTAGTAGTTTAAAACAACAATAATTTACTATTTCTCACAATTTTCTGGGATACCTGGAGCTCAGTTGGACAGTTTTTATATTGGTCTCACTTGGAGTCTCTTATGTGGGTACAGTCAGATGGTGGAGCCTGGAAAGTCCAAAATGGCTGCACTCCCATATCTAGCACTTTGTGGGGATGACAGGACAGCTGAGCCCTGCAGGGTGCTGGGATCACAGCGTCTAGTCTTTCTCCATAGTCTCAGAGTCCGTCCCTTTCCATGTTGTCTCTTCCCGTAGTATCTCTAGCAGAGTAGCTGAACTTTTAACATGGTGACTCAGGGTTCCCAAAAGTACAAGCATGAAACCTGCCAGGTCTGGTGCCACATTCAGTTGATCAAAGCAAGTTGCCAGATTCTACATGGGACTATATACCAGGAGGTATGGTTCATTGGTGGTCATCTTTGGAGTCTAGCTGCCACATGTGGACACTTAAAATATATATCAGTGATGGGCACAATGGCGTGCCTGTAATCCCAGCATTTTAGGAGGCCAAGTTTGGTAGGATCATTTGAGGTCAGGAGTTCGAGACCAGCCTGGCCAACATGGTGAAACATCGTCTCTACTAAAAATACGAAAATTAGCTGAGTGTGGTGGCAAGTGCCTGTAATTCCAGCTACTTGGGAGGCTGAGGCAGGAGAATCGTCTGAACCTGGGAGGCAGAGGTTGCAGTGAGTGAGGTCCTACCACTGCACTCCAGCCTGGGCAACAGAGAGAGAATCCATCTCAAAAAAAGAAAAGAAACAAAATTAAAAATAATAAAATCAAATACATATCAGAAGTCAATTTTGTTGATTTTAAGAATGTACTTTCTCAATTTGTTTCTACTTTTTGTCTCAATTTTTTAAGATCAGCTTTAGGTATATGGGAAATTAATAAAGTAATGAGCCTGGTGGGCAAGCTTCTAAATGGCTCCCAAACATCCCTGCCTTCTTGTAGTTCATGCTGTTATGCAATCCCCTTCTCTTGAGTGTGGGCTGAACCAAGTGATTTGCTTCTAACAAATAAAATACAGCAAAAGTGAGGGGATATCAGCTTTTTAATGAATTATAAAAGATTGTGGCCGGGTGTGGTGGCTCAAGCCTATAATCTCAGCACTTTGGGAGGCTGAGGCAGGTGGATCACGAGGTCGAGAGATCGAGACCATCCTGGTCAACATGATGAAACCCCATCTCTACTAAAGATACAAAAAATTAGCTGGGCATGGTGGCACGTGCCTGTAATCCCAGCTACTCAGGAGGCTGAGGCAGGAGAATTGCTTGAACCCAGGAGGCGGAGGTTGCGGTGAGCCAAGATCGTGC